TGAAAAATAGATCGCCGCGAATGTAGAAAGGAATGTGAATATATACTTTTGGGCTCTTTTGGGCTTTGACGGAAATGAAAAAGCATTGTATCTATTTTGAGTTTTGACTTAAGCTGATCTGACATGGCAAAATAAATGTTTTCTATTGGCTGATTTTTTGAGGTGACGTGGCATAGCTTATAGAGCTTCATATCATTCTTTAAGTATGATTAGATATTGACACTTAATTATTATAATAATGATCTTATAAAATTATTTTTAGATAACAATAATATATTAATAAATAATATGTAGCAATATATAATAATATTAATAAAAATATAATATAAACATATTATTTGACACAATACTTTACAAAAATTTTACACAAATACAAAAGTATAATACAATCATAATATTTTACATCAGAATAAAAGTTACATAAGCTGAAATATTACACATTAGAATATATATTACAATACCAATATTTAGGTAAATACATAAGTTGAAATATTCCACATTAAAATATATATTACAATACTAATATTGAGGTAAATTTGGTATTGAATCTCTAAGATCACCAAAATATTCTTGATATAAATTTGGAGCGCTCTCTTTGGTTTGTTGTTGTTGAATTCTTTTTTTGTATGATTCTTACTTGTTCAGATCCAATAAACTGACGAGTGTTAATATCATCGATGGAGTTTAATTTTTTTAACAAGATTTTATTTTTAGTCTCCATTTCTTTTAGAGCTAACTTTTTTGGTTTGATTTTGCATGCGTAACTGAATTTTCTATAGATGATGCACTTTATTTCAAGAAATTTAGGATTTGTTAGTTTGCTGAAATCAAGAAAGAGTCACTCAGTGAATCGGTGGATCACACACTTGTTGGAGACAGGGACACGCCTGACTATTTAGAAAGTATACAAGTGTTGAAAGAGTGCATTATCCATAGATGAAGTNGTTTGATTTTGCATGCGTAACTGAATTTTCTATAGATGATGCACTTTATTTCAAGAAATTTAGGATTTGTTAGTTTGCTGAAATCAAGAAAGAGTCACTCAGTGAATCGGTGGATCACACACTTGTTGGAGACAGGGACACGCCTGACTATTTAGAAAGTATACAAGTGTTGAAAGAGTGCATTATCCATAGATGAAGTATTACCTTCAGAAAGTTTTCTTTTAAGTTTTCCTTTCTTCGCTCCAATAGGACATTGTGACGAATTTGATCCATCATCATCACTGCTTAAATTGATTGAGAATGAAGAAATTCCAGGAGATTGTGATGCTGGAGAGCCGACAGTATCGCTGCCAATATCCGGGATACCGATATCGACTTTATCTGAAAACTTGGGAATATCTTTCATTAACAGCCACACATGATCAAATTTAAATTTTTTTTTTAGTTTTTGGTCTTGCATCAATAATTTCTTTGCGTTTTCCATCTGCAAACATTTTTTTGAATTAAAGAACATGATTAGATACATAAACACGAATAAAAATACTACTTTTTAAAGACCTATGACTTCTAATTTGGCCAACTCTCTTTTTTTTTTCTCATTGTAATTTTTTTTCTATTTTTTCCCATTGTTTCTTCAAAGTTTGATTTTTGCTAGCAATGAGATCTTGTGAAATTTCTAAATATATATGACATAACAACTCATCTTCTTGTTCGTTGAATGATGTGCTTCTATTTTTTTTTTTCAATTTTTGTAAACAAGAGAAAAAAACGAATGAGGGATGGAAAAATGTGATTTAGTAAAATGTGTTTTTTTCATTTGGTAAAACCTATTATTTGTAGACAAAAAAATATGGTTGGAGGTTATCTTATCTACTAAATATGGTTGGAGGTTGGATGAGAAAATTACAAAATTTCATTTAATGGTTGATGAGATAAAAAAATCTATTGAATGATGTGGATCAATTGAATATGGTTGGAGGATGAAGGCTAGATAAAAAATTGACAAAGTTTTAATTTAATGGTTCATGAGACAATAAATGTATTGAATCGCCTACTAAATGAGGTTGGGGATTGCAGATGGTTTGAAGTTGAAGGTTAGATAAGAAAATGGCACAGTTTCAATTTAATGGTTGATGACACATAGTAATATTTATTTCTATATATACATGCAATATCATCTATGAACATATCAACAAAACATCTTATAAAAATGAATTTTAATATCGAAAATTTATCTTCTTCTTCTTTTTCTTCTTCAGACTCATCTGAGTTTGATGAATGGATTATTGATGAAAATGAAACAATAGAGAGGGAACAAAAAATTGCAGCCAATTTTTTAATCAACAACAATCCTCTTATTCACCAGCTTAATCATGAAAATAATCATGCAAGTCACCATGGTTTGATTTTTGGTCATGCAGTTATTTTCGTGATAGAGAAAATGCACATCGTAACTTGTACAATGATTTTTTTGATAATCATGTGTATGGTGAGAGGAAGTTTCATCGTCGATTTAGAATGTCACGAAAGTTATTTCTTCACCTTGTCGATGCCGTCAAGCAACATGACAACTACATCAACCAACAACGTGATGCATCTGGTAGACTTGGATTATCAACTTTACAAGAAGTCACAGCCTCTCTTCAGATGTTGGCATATGACATGCCTGCTGATGCGACGATGAATACATTAAAATAGAAAAGTCTACAGCAACTGAATGCATAAAAAAGTTAAGTCGTGCAATTGTATATGTCTTTTCAGAGTGGTGTCTCCAGTCACCAACATAAGAGAACGTTTCCATACTTCTCAATATTGGCCAACAACGCGGATTTCCTAGAATGTTAGGCTATCTTGATTGTATGCATTGGAAGTGGAACCAAAAAGAGAAAATGTAATTAACATAACTTAGTGTTTTTTTTTGAAAAGTAACTTAGTAAAATAATTGGAGTTTTCTGGTCTCAAAAATATAAATCCATTGAAACTCAGATCTTTCAAAAAAAAAAACCCTTACATCTAAACTATTTTAATCTCCAACTTTTAATTAATATCCATTTTGAATCTCGGTTTTTGTCGACCAATCTATTTCAGATACGAAGAGTCTAAAAGATCTGCTATTGCTTTGTTTTATTTATGTTCTCCTTTACAACGTGATCTCTCAATTACATATATAAACTCTAAAGTCATTAATAAATATTTACAATCTTAGTCCATAACTATTGCATAATTGCAATATAGCCCAATACCCTCCCTTAAGTTGGAGTATGGAGATCTCGAATGCCCAACTGGGGAAGATCGCTTGAAAAGGACGTCCTCCAAGCACTTTCATAAAGATATCTGCCAATTGATCTGTTGTTGGTTCATGATTAGTACGTAAAATTCCTTCTTGTATATCATCCCTAATGAAGTGACAATCTGAATCCACATGTTTCGTCCTCTCATGAAACACAAGATTATCTGCAATGTGAAGAGCAGATTTACAATTACAATACATATCCATCGCACCTGAGTGTACAATACCCATAGATGATAACACACCCTTAATCACTTCAACTCCTTCAATGCAGCAATCATAGCTCTATATTCTGCTTCGGCTAACGAAAGAGCCACAACATCCTGCTTCTTTGACCTCCAAGATACAGGAGAAGATCCCAATTGTATTAACCCAACATTCAAAGATCTCCTGGTAATCGGACATTCAGACCAGTCTTAATCACACCACAATGTGAGATGAAAATTACAATCAGCTTTCAGTAAAATTCCCATTGTAGGACACTTTCAAATACCGAACAACTCTCAGTGTAGCTAACCAGTGATCCTCCCTTGGTTTCTGCACAAACTGAGACAAAATATGAACATAATACGCAATATCATGTCTAGTCGCAGCCAAATAAATCAATCTCCCAACCAATCTTCGATATTTCTCTGGATCATCAAGTGTCTTCTATTCAAATCGCCCCAACTGATGGTTCTGTTCCATGAGAAATTCCACCGGTCTACCACCAAGCAACCCAACATCAGAAATAATATCCAATACATACTTTCTTTGGGACAAATAGATACCTTATTTGCTGCGTGCAACTTCTATTTCCAGAAAATACTTGAGTTTTCCCAAATCCTTCATATGAAAAAAACCACTCAGATATCCTTTAAACTCTCGAATAGCTTCTGGTGAGTTTCCTATTATCACAAGATCATCAACATACACCAGAACATGCAACTGAACTTTAGCAATTACTAACGAAAATAAGTAATCTGACTTAGTCTATGTAAAACCAAACTTTAAACGAGCTTTTGAAAGCTTGGCAAAACCAAGGCCTCATAGCTTGTTTCAAACCATAAAGATTTGTGCAACCTGCATACCATTCCCTTTGTAGAAGCACCGAAACCCTGAGGTAGCCTCATATACACTTTTTCCTTCAAGTCTCCATGAAAAATTGCATTGTGTACATCCATCTGATGAAGTTCCCAGTTCTTTCCTACAGCAATCTGAAAAACCAATCTAATTGTACTCATTTTTACCACAAGGGAAAATGTTTCTTTGTAGTCAACTCCTTCTTCTTGTCGATTACCACAAGCAACAAGTCTAGCCTTATATCTTTCAATCGATCCATCTGCATTATACTTTATTGTGAATACCCACTTGCATTCAATCACCCGCTTACCATAAGGTAAAAATTGAGTTGACCACGTCTTATTCTTCTCTTGAGCCTCGATCTCAACCCTCATTGTTTCTCGCCATCTTGGACATTTCATTGCTTCAGAAAATGTCCTTGGCACAGTTCTTTCTGTTACACTAGCCGAAAATCCTCTATGTGACTCAGAAAATCTATCACAATTTACAAAATTTTCAATTTCAACTTCTGAACTTCCATGTGGATACACAGTAGATAAAGACATAGGAGCATGAACCACTGTGTTAACCACATAATCACGTAGCCTGACAAAAGCTTCTTTGTTTCTCATACCCCGTCCTAACGTTGTATCTAATCCACCAGTCTCCACATGTGTGTCTCTCAAAGGTTCAGATTGTGTTCTTGTCTCACCATGGGTCATAACTACGGCCTCTGTTTCATTCTCAATCGCTTCCTCTGACACAGTTATAGGTTGTTGTTGTTTTGTAAAGAATAGAGTCTACTTTGTGTGAGAATAGCAAAGTGTATCAAGAACCAGAATAAGAACAAGAAGAATCTAAGAGAGAGAGAGAGATTCGTATGAGACCAAGAGAGAGAGAGTAATGAGGAAACTATTCCCTTACTTTCTTTGGTGTATTGCATACAATATTTAAAGACCAAATGAGGCCATTACAAGACAATAAGAATAAGAGTAAACAATGATAGTCTCGGCAGAGAAAGTGGTCCTTGACAGTGACACATCCTCAATGGCTCCAAGCCTTAAGGAAACATGTGATCTTTATCATATTTTAAGGTTGCCGACATCTCCTCTTTGTCTTCATTCACAACCGGTTCCCTTCATGCCTCAGACGAGATTAAACTTCTTCTCCTTGCCTTACAATGCACTCTAGGTTTGATGTGTTACTTGATTACCAAGTCTGTACGGATAGACTTGTATCACAAGCTTCCTTGATCACGGCTAATCTTAACCCATCAAACCCTTATTGTCTCTCTTTATTTGCTTCATGTTCACACTCCCCCTCAAGCTTGACAATGGGAACTATGTCAAGCTTGGCATACCATGAAGCATTCCCTCATTAAAACCTTACTTTTGCAAAACCCATTGGGATAAAAACTAAGCAAGGAAAGAGTAGAACACTCCATGGAGAGGAGATTAGTGACATGGGATATCTATGAGTCCAAGCCTCGGATGAATGAACTCACAAACCTTGCTACTGGCCGCCTTAGTAAAGATGTCAGCAAGTTGATCCTCACTTCTGGTGTAGCATGGGAGGATCACCTGCTGCTCCACTGCTTGTCTCACCTTATGGCAATCCACTTCTATGTGTTTAGTTTGCTCATGGAAGACTGAGTTAGATGCAATATGTATGGCTGCTTGATTGTCACAATGCATGGTCATTGGTGTGTTGATCTCAATGCCTAAGTCTTTTACCAGCCCCTTGATCCATATCAACTCACTAGTCAGCTTCCTCATGGACCTATATTCTGCCTCAGCACTTGAGCAAGATACAACCTTCTGCTTCTTGCTCTTCCATGTGACCAAGTTCCCTCCAATGAATGTGCAATAGCCTGTGGTTGATCTTCTATCAACCGTATCTCCAGCCCAATCCGCATCACAGTATCCTACCACTTCAGTGTTCTTGTTACAAGCCATCCATACTCCTTGACCAGGCGCCTCTCTCAAGTATCTTAAGATCCTTTCCACCATACTCCAATGATGTACTTTAGGAGCTTGCATATGTTGACTAACTTGGTTCACAGCAAAGCACACATC